GAAATAAATAAGCCATGAAAAACACAGTTATGAAATAAATAAGCCATCATGGAAAACACAATTATGAAATAAAAGAATAAAAATGGAAGAAAAATTATAATAATTATGAGCTTAGATACTTATTTCATAATGCTTTATTTATTTATTTAATTTTGAGCATTTTGGTGTTCCATACAATAAAACTAGTTCAGAATGTTAAAAGTACTGTTTGTAGTTAAAGTTGTAATGTTGGTCTGAGAGCTCACCTGTTCCTGCAGATTCTCAACAACAACCAGATCTGCAGACTGGTTTTGACAAAACTGTCGACTTGCCTCCCAGGTTTTCCAAGATGCGTCTTTGTAGAACAGGTAGCACTTGTTCTGGAACAGAACCCAGCTGTTCTGACACGGCTGACATCCTGGGTTCATTAAATTAAATAAAAAAATGGTTAAAGCTATGTTCAAATTAAGAGCCACCTGTAAAATATTATTTACAAAGGTGAAAAAAATCATGAATGCCTTTAATTTTATTATCTTCAAAATTTTTATGCCTGAATAAAAATGACTTGATGATGTTAGCTCAGCAAAAATAATAAACACAAATAATGAAAAATTTAAAATCCTCCCAGAGGAGCTGCTTTAAAACAAAATAAAAAGTTATTGGAAATAAACCTCAGAACCTGATCTGTCTTCAGTCAGCTGCTGGAAAATGATTAAAACTGTTTGTTTTGGATAATTTTATTAATGTGAATGTTGAGTCAGCAGGATTTAGCTACTGTTCTGCTACTTTTTCCTTTTAGCTCACCTTCTGCTACTCTTAGATAAACTTTTCCTGCTCTTAGCTTTCCTTTTGCTATTTTTAGCTAGCCTTCTGCTCCTGTGTCTACTTATTTGCTACTTTAGCTAACCTTTTGCTGCTACTTTAAAATAGCAATTTACTACGTTTAGCTCATATTTTAGTACTTTTAGCTTTGAACTAGTCTGCTGCTACATTTAGCTTTTATCTAATGTTTTGCTGCAATTTGCTACACTTTTGCTACTTTATTTAATGTAGCCTTTAATGACTTTAACCTTTTTCTATTTTTAGCTTTAAACTAGACATCTGCTACATTTATTTTTATTTGTTCATTCATTTAAAATAAACAAAAATAAACAAATTCATCAAAAGAAAATCCTTTCTGCTTCATTTTTGAACCAGCTTTTGCTACTTTTAACAAACATTTAGCTAATTTTAGCTTTAAATTAGCTACCTGCTACATTTAGCCTTTAGCTAATAATTTTGTGCTTTCAGCTTTGAACTAGCCTTCAGCTAGGTTTTGCTTTTAGCTAACCTTTTGCAGATTTTAGATAGCATGAAGTGTAAGGAACTCTCGTGAGGGTTTGGACCAAGATCACAACACAACAAAATGACGATAAATAATAAGTGTTTATTGTTTCTAGGAAGGAAGTGACAGCTGGTCTTGGTGCTGGTCTGGGTTCTGGTTCTGGTGTCGGTTAATGGCAGGAACAGTCGTCTCAGATGATCTTAGGGGTCCTGAAGGGTTGAGGTAGTCAGGTCTGCAGCTGCCGGAGGAGCTGAGTCCGGTGAAGGACGCCAGTCGGCCGCAGCTGTCTGCGTGGCCAGAGTCCGTAATCCAAGAGGGGAGGTCAGGCTTTCCAAGGTCCAGTAACGTGAGGCAGGTGTCAGGCAGTACCAGAGAGACAGGCAGATCGGTGGTCGTGCAGGCGTGGGTCAGTACCAAGAGCAGAGGCAGAAACAAATCCAAAAGGGAAATCCAAAGAGTCGTGGTCGAGGCAGGCGGAGGGTCCAGGAACCAAGAGATCAGGCCAAACACGAAGGGGAGGACAACCAGAAAGAGGGACAGGTAGCGTGGTGGGCAAAACAAGGAGCGAGGACTTGAACAGGGACAAGAGAGGGGAACAAGGACTACAGGCATGAACGCGAGATACCTACTAACTACTAAGAGTGTTCAACTATCGGGCACCGAAGAGTTGACAGGGTGCTGCTTATAAAGGGTGGAGAGAACAGGTGCAGCCAGTCTGAGATAATCAGGCCAGCTGACTGCAGTGCAGACAATTAGTGCAGTCAGCCTTCACCAACATGCAGAGTGGACAGACTGGTTCTCCACACACACACACACACACACACACATGAGAACCAGGTAGAAGAAGATAAGGAGTGAGGAGGAAAAGAACAGAACAGGACTGAGAAACCAGAACTAGTGAACAGAGTGATAAAGATCTAAATACAGGGACGTGATTCATGACAATGAAGCTACTTTTTTACAGCGACTGTTCTGTTATTTAAACTTTAACCTCCCTGTTTCAGCTTCTTGAGCAAACTTCAGCAGCTACCCGGCGCTCAGCGTTCACTTAGCATTTATTTTATGTCGTGGACTGTTTTGTTATTTTGTCTCTGTGTGGCCCTGCGATGGACTTGTGACCTGTCCAGGGTGTACCCCACCTCTCGTACAGTGATGGATGGACATGGGCACCAGTGACCTCCGCGACCAAAAAAGGAAGAAGCGGGTAAAGCTAATGGATGGATGGATGCATGGATGGATGGATGGATGGATGGATGGATGGATGGATGGATGGATGGATGGATGGATGGATGGATGGATGGATGGATGGATGGATGGATGGATGGATTGATGCATGGATGTGTAGTATGAACAGATGCTGAGATATATTCATACATTAAACGGGTTCTTCATTTTTCTGACTGTGTAACATGCGTGCATTGAATTTAACAAAAATGTAACGAGAGACGTTATTTATCTTTGACCCATCAAAATGAATGCGGTCATTTATTTACAGAATCAAAGTTTAACATCAAACATTTACATTAATTTGGCAAAATATGAAAATAACAACAGCATAATTAATCAATCAGGAAAACCATACGGCCATGGTTTTCCGTTGCTTCACCACAGACATTAATGAAAACATCTGGATTAATTTTCTAGCAGAAAGGAGAGTTTGAAGATGGAAAATTGAGATTTATCTTACAGAGAGATGTGTGAGGGAATTTATCTGTTTAACCAGAACAGCACGCTCTTTGGAAATCAGCTTGTCCCAAACGGTACACTTTTGGGTGAAGGTAGACTTTACCTTTCTGAAGATAGATCAGGTCGGCGTGAAGTCCTACTTCCAGCCACTTTCAGCGTCTCCGTTGAGAACAGCTAAAATACCTCGAGAGTCGTGCGAGGTTATCCAAACAGAAGTTATAATTCCCAGAATCGTCTCTGCATTCTGGATTCCAAGAACTCTGAACTCCTTCAGAACTCTGAACTTTTCTGGAACTCTCAAAACTCTGGAAACTCTTCCATCCTCAACTCCTAAACTCTGCTCTTCTCAACTCTGCGTTGAACTGGGAAGTTGCCACATTTAAACGGCTATACTTCCGGTTCATTTGAGAGCCTTCTGATTCGTGGATGGACCAGAACAGAGGTGTGGTTTGTGATGTAAGGTGTTATGGAAAGTCAAGGATTGTTTAAAAACAAACAGAAAGATTGTTGGAGAAAACCAGTCTTAGTGGCGTCTCTACTCAGTATCTTGCTGTAAAAGTTAAACATGACATTTCTTTTCAGTAAACTTTTTAGTTGACCGAAGCTCGAACTTTAACACACTTACAACTTGCTCACTTTCAAAGCAGATGATCAAGAAATTGAATCATTACTCTGTAATGTACTCTAACTTGATTTCACTTTGAATTGAGGAATAAAAATCATTACTACTGTTTAAGTAAATAAAAATGAGTAGTTCACTTCAACATGTAAACATTGTTTGAACTAACACAATTTGATTATCAAAACATTTGTAAAATAGTAATGATCATAGAGAATTGTCTTTTCCACTTGATTAATTCAAGACAGAAAGTCTCAGGATGGGTCAAACTGTATTTCTGGATTCAAATCAATGAAATGACAGTTTCTGTCCATCTGGTCAGTTTTGACATAGGCCTAGTCCACTACAGATGCATGGATGGATGGATGGATGGATGGATGGATGCATGGATGCATGGATGCATGGATGCATGGATGCATGGATGGATGGATGGATGCATGGATGCATGGATGAATGGATGCATGGATGCATGGATGGATGGATGGATGCATGGATGCATGGATGCATGGATGCATGGATGAATGGATGCATGGATGCATGGATGGATGGATGGATG